AAATGTACTTCACTGTATTAACAAGCTAAAAAAAAAAGCATATGATTATCTCAATACATGCAGAAAAAAATTGACAAAATCCAACAGTCATTCCTGATTTAAAAAACAAACAACTCTCACCAAACTTGGAATAGAAGGCAATGTCCTCAACCTGACAAAGGACATCTACATCCACAGGTAATATCATACCGGTAAAAAACTGAATGCTTACCCCTGAAGATTAGAACAAGGTGAGGATGTCTGATCGCACCACTTCTATTCAACATTGTAATGGAGGTTCTGGCCAAGGCAACTGGCAAGCAAATGGAATAAAAGGAATCTTAGATTGGGGAAGACATTATTTTACTTTTATTTTTTAAGAATTATTCATTTGAGGGCTGCCTGAGTGGCTCAGTCCTTAAGCGTCTGCCTTCGGCTCTAGTCGTGATCCCAGGGTCCTGGGATCGAGCTCCACATCGGGCTCCCTGCTCGGCGGGAAGCCTGCTTCTCCCTCTCCCACTCCCCCTGCTTGTGTTCCCTCTCTCGCTGCCTCTCTTTCTCTCTGTCACACAAATAAATAAAATCTTAAAAAAAAAAAATTATTCATTTGAGGGGCGCCTGGGTGGCTCAGTCATTAAGCGTCTGCCTTCGGCTCGGGTCATGGTCCCAGGGTCCTGGGATCGAGCCCCGCATCGGGCTCCCTGCTCAGCGGGAGGCCTGCTTCTCCCTCCCCCACTCCCCCTGCTTGTGTTCCTTCTCTCACTGTGTCTCTCTCTGTCAAATAAATAAATAAAATCTTAAAAAAAAAAAAGAATTATTCATTTGTGAGAGAGAACAATTTGGGGGAGAGGGAAAATCTCAAGCCAACCCCCCATTGAGCATGGAGCCCAACGGGGAGCTCCATCCCAGGACCCCAAGAGCATGACCTGAGCGGAAATCAAGAGCCAGAAGCTCAACTGACTGATCCATCCAGTTGTCCTGGAAAAGACATTTTAAAAAATCCTTCTTTGCTTCAAAAGATACCATAAACAAAGTAAAAGGTAAGTCAAAACTTGGAAAGGATACATTCCTAATAAAGGATTAATGTTAAATTTCTGTGAAGAACTTCTATAAGCCAGGAAGAAAAAGACAACCTGAGAGAAAAACGCATGAAGTGAGAAGTTAATTCAAAGAGAGAACACACAAATGGCTAACACCGTGAAAAGATGCTGAATCTCACCAATAAGAGAAGAGCAAACATCTCACAATGAAATACAATTTTCTACCCATACTTTTTAATTTAAAAAAGCTGACAGTACCAAGCATTGGTGAGGATGTGGAGCAAGTGGAACTCCTAACCGTTGCTAGGAGGCATATGAAAAGGTGCAATCCTGGGGCGCCTGGGTGCCTCAGTCATTAAGCGTCTGCCTTTGGCTCAGGTCATGACCCCAGGGTCCTGGGACTGAGCCCCACGTTGGACTCTCTGCTCAGCGGGGAGCCTGCTTCTCCCTCTCCCACTCCCCCTGCTTGTGTTCCCTCTCTCACTGTGTCTCTCCCTGTCAAATAAATAAATAAAATCTCTAAAAAGAAAAAAGGTGCAATCCTTTTGGAAACATCTACCAACGTTGGACATAAATATTCATTTGCTATGGCCCATCAGTACCACTCTGAGGGCTTACGCCAGAGAGACCCTGCATCTGTCCATAAGGAGACCTGTATATGAATTTTCATAGCAACATCATTTATAGGAGCTGGAAGCCTTTTGCTTGCAATGCTCTTCCCCCAGATACCTGCATGGCTGGCTTTCTCCCTGCCTTTAGGTCTTTGCTTGCATATTACCTTCTTAGTGGGCCCTTCCCTGAGCCACCAACTTAAAATCACAACCACCTCCTCCCCCATTCTTTGCCCCCTCTCCTTACTTGGCCTTTAGCAATTAACCCCATCCGATGTGTTATATATTTTACTTATTTTTTTTCTCTCTCTCTTTTTTTAAGGTTTTATGTCAGAGAGTGAGAGTGAAAGCACAAGCAGAAGGAGCAGCAGGTGGAGCAGGCAGAGGGAGAAGCAGGCTCCCTGCCAAGCAAGGATCCCCTGGAGGGGCTCGATTCCAGGACCCTGGGATCATGACCTGAGCTGGAGGCAGACGCTTAACTGACTAGATGCCTGGTAGAGCCACCCAGGCATCCCTTTGCTTATTTTTCTATTGTGCACTCTCCTCCAGAATGTGAGCTCCTTGAGGGCAGTGGGGGTTTTGTGATTTTTACTCACTACTTTATTCCCACCTCCTGCATTATTGGTTCTTATTTTTTTTAAAGATTTATTTACTTATTTGAGAGAGAGACAGAGAGAGCACATGAGAGAGTTGGGGGGAGGGAGAGACAGAATCTCCAGCAGACCCCCTGCTGAGCCTGCAGCCTGATGCGGGGGCTCAATCTCAGGACCCTGAAATCATGACCTGAAATCAAGAGTTGGATGCTAAACTGACTGAGCCACCCAGGCACCCTGCATAGTACGTTCTTTAATGAATATTTACTGAAGGAACGTAAGTAGCCATCAAAAGTAGACAGTATGAACAAGTTCTGGTATACTCATTTAACAGGAAACTAGACAGCCGTGAAAATAAATAAAGTTTCACATATCAAAAAGGATAAATCTTGGAATGATAAATACATACAGCAAAAAATGCAAGTTGCAGATAAAATCTTATGTAGATACATTTATATGAATGCAAAACATGCAAAGTAAATGTTTTGTATTGCTCTGGGATACATATATGTTGTAAAATTTCCAAAAACACAGAGCCATCCACATTTCATTCAGGATAGTGGCTGTCTCTGAAAGGCAGTTTCTATGGAAGAGGGGAACATGGGGGTTTCAGCTACATGGATAATTTTTTTTTTCAGCTTAGGAGTGTTTTCATAGGGTTTCACTGAATTCCTTACAACTTTATTATATTTTACATGTTTTTCTTAAAAGAAAAATGAGCAGACCTCTACCATTAAGTCCCTGGGACGAGAGAAACAAGGCTGAATGCTGAGCTGGTGGCAAAGGCAGCAAGGAAGAGCTGTGCAAGGGGAAGCTTCTGCATGGCCACTGACCGCGGAGAGGCGTGCTGACTTCCACGTGGAGGACTCACGATCCCACAGAATGTCGAACATTCTTTTGTCGAACATTGGACTCCTGGGCTCCTCGCTGGTGAAGATGAGTTAATCCTAGGATGTGAGAGCATAGACAACTTCAGGTCTAACTTACCTGTACTAGTTATTTTACTCTTGGTGACCCTACGGTTATACTCACAAAAGTCTTACCCGCTCCAAGAGTGTGCCTGGACTCCCCTTCCTTTACCTTTCGCTCTCATCATCTGGCTGCCCTTCAGGTGGTATGGGGTGACCGCTCTTCACGCATCTCAGCGGAAGGGCGTGCCCGAGTGCCTAGGTTCTCCTACTGCCCTGATCTTGTCCCGCTCCCCAAACTGGCAGCTCGGAAGCAGCTCAGACCCCCACAGGAGGGGCATCCAAGACGGCTGCGCAGCCCAGCCTCGGCGACCCCACGGCAGGGAGAGCGCAGAGCGCCGTGCAGCGCCCGGGGCACACGGGGCGGTGGGGCTCGCGTCGGAGCGAGCGGAACCCTCACACTGCCTACCCGGCCTCTCCCGGAAAGGCCCTGGCGCGTAGCCGCTCCTGGAGAAGCCTGCCTCGCTCTGGGCATCACAGGCTGGGCTGCCGCTCACGAAGCAAGACCTTGAGCCTGCTACCGGCTGTGTCCCTACCTTGAAGATACCAGCCTCCGCAAGCGGACGCTGACCACTGCGCCCCCAGCGCCGCCCTTCAGACCCCTGATGACCGCCCTGGCCGCAGGGCTCGTCCCGCCCCTTCCCTCCCCCCTCCGTCTGTCCACACACAAACAGGTGGCCTTCTGGTGAGGGCGGAGCTCGCCAGGGCTCTGCTCCCAACCTTGCGGTGGCTTCTCGTTTCACCCAAAGCCAGAGTCGGAGCCATCGCGAAGCCCTAAGGCTGCCTGCCGTCAGGCCCCTCGTTGCCCCTCTCTGCGCACCGTGCCGCCGAAGCGAGCAGGGCGGACAAACGCACCGGGGACAAGGGGGAGGTGCGGGGCCGCGGAGCTCGGGGAGCGGCTCACTTCAAACTGCGGCGGGAAGGAGGTCCCGGCAGGGTCCCCGAGAGCCGCCAACGGGCTTGGGGATTCCGGCTCCGGCTGGCGCTGCAGGCTCGGGGGTGGTCCGGGGATCCCCCCGTGCTGGGTGACGCTCCG